TTACATTGGTCTTCATTCAGAGGTGACTTTTGACTGTATACTCTTTAATTTGTTCATTTCTCAAGAGATACTAACCGAGCTTTTCAGAAGTAGTTCAACTTTTTTTGCTCAAACTCAGATTGCTTGAACTCGGATCGAATTATTCTGTTCGCTTGAACTCACTGAACAGTACAAGCAAAATACCCATATGATTTATGTTGTTCTAACTCGGTATCACTCTAATACTGATTGCTCGAACTTTCAAACTAGATCTCTGGTCCCTTCAGCAGAAATATCGTATTTTTGTAAAAAAAATTGGGAAACACATTGCTTTTGCCTTCTCTGTCTGTCTGTCAGTCCGTCAGTCTGGTTGACTGTCTATCTATCCGCATATTATTAAGCTTGTGTGGCTTTCACAAAAACACTGCTGGCAGGATAACAATGAAACTTCACATGAGCGATCAGTACCATTCCTAGTTGTGCAAATATTCGGGAAGTTCTGCTTCGTTGCACAAAATGGACGCCAAAGCTATAAATAGAAAAATCTTGTCTTGCGTTCACAGCTCATATTCCTCGTGGGATTTTGACTGAACGTCACAGACGTGTTATAACCATTCCTTATGGAAAGCCACGGCAGTCTTATATTGTTTTTTTTTTCAATTTATTTAACCATTGGATAATATATAAGTTCACTTCGACTATACATGTATATGAATTGAAAACACATTATTTAACCGGAAACCATTATATTTATCCACAGTTACAATTTATGAAACCATACCGTCAACTAGTGTATGAAACCGTATGGAAAGCCGTGGCTGTCTAATATTGTTCTTTTTCAATTTATGTAACCATTTGGATAATATATACGTTCATTTCGACTATATATGAATTGAAAACACCTTATTTAACCGGAATCCATTATATTAATCCACAGTTACAATACATGAAACCATACCGTCAGTGTCTGAAACCGAGGCAGCATTTGTCAATATATGATTCCAGTTCTTCAATATTTTGTACCAAAGTAGCCATATATGGAACCAGATGTCCTGATATTAAACCGAGTTATCAATATATTAATTCATTGTTCAATATATGAAACCAATGTATCAATTTATGAAACCAAAGTAGAAATATATAAGTCGGTTATCTAATATCTGATACCAATTCTTCAATATATTGTACCAAAGTAGCAATATATGGAACCAGATGTCCTGATATGAAACGAATTTTCTATATATTAATTCATTTTAACAATTTATGAAACAAATCAATGTATGGAACCAAAGTAGCAATATATAAGTTGATTTTCTCAATACAGATGTATTTGATTCCAGTTCTTCAATATATGGTACCAAAGTATAGCAATGTATGGAATCAGATCTAAGACAAAAGTCAGATAAGTATGTCTATATGATTTTTATGGAGACACTTCTGATTATGTATATTTCACTTTCGACGTGGTCTTGATGAGAAAATGTACAAATATATCAGTCAAAAAACATGTATCGGGGGCGTCGTTGGCGGAGTTGTTTATGTTGTTTACTTCAAACAACTTGCCCTTCACGGCTGTGGGTTCGAATTCCGATAGAGACTTTGGATTATTTTGTGTGAGGAAGTTAGCTAGCTAGTTCACAGAACGTCGATGGTTCTTCTCAAGTGCATGTACGTGACAGAAATAATGCACAGAAAGGCACCTTAGGTTTTCCTAAACAAATAAAGCTGGAATGTCGCCATATAACCTATACTACATTGATGCGAACCGAACCAAACAAGTATGCCTCAGACCGTCAATCCATAAGCTGAATGACCTACACAGTGAAAAATAAACATGCAAAATATGTGCTTAAAACGACAATTATTGAAAAAAAGTAATCAAGGGAAATTATATGAATTGATTAAAATTTCAAATAGTGACTGATATAAGTGAAAGAAAATACCGTATATGGGAACTTTATTTCTGCGGTTTATAACGGAACCGCAGATTTAAAAACCACAGAAAATTAAGCCTTTCCTTATGTATTTGTCGGAATATTTCAAATACCGGTATTATATAATTACATAATCATGTATCGTTATTATTTAAAGATGGAATTATTTCTTTATAAAATGAATAAAAACTCGTGAATGAAACATTAGAAAAAAATGTTACTTTGCTTGTGTTTAAGTATTTAAATTATCGTCATTGCATGTTGTTGTTGTTTTTTAACCGATACGAGTATATGATAATTACGACGAAACACATTATCAGTCGTATGCATTAACCATGTTAACTGGAAGTAATGTACATGTAACATCAACAAATCTTGAAATATCGTCTGTTTTATTGTTAATTTTGTAATTTTAATGTGTGAATGATGACACCACAGAAATAAGACACGCAGAAATTTAAAACCCCTTATTTTAACAAAAATCGCAGAATATTAAGCCCGCAGAAATAAGTACTTATACAATGTTTAAGAATCATAATTTTATTTTTTGAACAACTAAATGTTCAGCTTTATATTTAACTCACACACTCAGCCTCCTAATGGCATCTGTGTAGTTAAGGTTATAGTCATAGGAAAGAAAGATTAATTTGATTTTGTCTGAAAAGAATTTTTTTAGATTTTGTTCTTCATTATTATATTTTATTATTTAATAAGCCTCCTGTGATATTTATGTTTGACAAACTTCCGAAATATTTTATTACAATTGTGTTATCACTTTTATATAAAATGCATAAGTGTTTGTATTGTGTATATGTGTTTTTTAACCTGAATAAATATCTATATTAAAGGACTGAAATCCTAATTAAGATATCGTGAATACGAAATATATTGACAATATTTCTCTTTCTTTTCTCATTTTCCAGAAATTTTATTCAAACTTGCGTTCAAAATAATAACGATTCGTATATATCAAGTAATAAACTCAGAGAAGGAAAAAAAACACATGCGGTGGCGTACCTACCGATACGCCAAATACGCTCGGGCGTATGAAAAGAAAAAGGAAGAAAATTTCAAATCGGGCATAGATCGATCAACATATTCGTAGCTGCCAATTGATTCTTTAGGTATGCTGAGAATGTTTCCTAATTCGAATATGTGTTACCTATTTTAATAATGTGTTTACACAATTTTAGTGAGAATTGATATATCGTTGTTTCAGTCTTGAATCCGTGTAAATCAAAGTTTTTATGGAGGTATTGTTTAAATTATATAAGATTTTAATTTATAACATCTTACTGTTAAGGACTCCGAAAACAAATATGCTCGGTCTTTCTACAGAGCCACGGAATGACGTACACAATGTAAAAAATATGATATGAATATTTCTTTGGAAATTTCTCTTTTTGCAGATTGAGTTATTAAAATAAAATAATAAATGTTATGATGCAAATTAACCTCATCAAAAACCAAATAATGATAATTTATTTCCCTCATCTTTCCTGTAGAATCAAAATCAAAGAAAACTGAACATTTATTTCATTTTTTTTACATTTATATGCAAAATTAAGTCTTGTCTGCAACTTGACATTTGTAGCACAATGGAAGGGAGTTGATCATATGTAATTCCTTTTTATATTTTATCTTGTAGTTATAAGTCAGTATATTGGTTCTAAGTTAGTAACATTCTTATATATCTTATATTCATTCAAAACTTTTGCCCACATCTATCGTCCGAAACCATAGTCAACTTATGTTTATTTGACCTAAAAATATAACAATATATACTGTCTTATTTTATTGACTATAGAAATAAATTGCAACCTACTGCAGACAATGATCTTTATTCTTCATTAAAGGTATTCTCATCTAAACATATAAAACATAGATAAATATACAATGAGAACAATGTATACCTATATAAGAGATAACAAGGCACGTCATGTCAAGATTTTTTATTTCACCGACTTCAGATAAATACCAACATGCTTGTGTGCGTTAGGCATTTAACAATGTACTGAACTAACTAAAACATTTCGCATGAAAATTGAAACAAAAGAGTTTAGAAAAACACTGTAAAAGATAAAAGATATTTTCTTTAACATTGACATAATGCGCATTTTGGAAATATTTTTAAAGGACTTAAATGATCACGCGATACTACAATTTAGATGTGAATACGATAACCTATTGTTGCACTAAAATATTTAAGCTATTGTGTTTGTATTATCGTTATTCAGATCATTTAAAATAATATTTTCCTTGATTATATCTCCTGTTAGGGTATGGTTAAACAAAAGGAAAATAACAAGGAAAAAGACCTCTTAGACCCATCTTCATAACAAAGTTTTTCTGATACACGGTAGTAAACAACTTCTTTGCAAAAGAAATTTAATTCAAATCTATTATGATTGCTTTACATGAAAAATACCGGTTGAAAAGGTGTTCGCGGTTTGAGGATGCGCGCGCATGGTATGACCCCCTTGAATATTTTGTATTCCTATCAGCAAGTAAGTTGTCCATGTAATTAACAGAATATTATACATTATGTAAGTGGTTTTACTGGAGTGTCTGAAATAATGCATAGAGAGGCACCTCGGTTTCCCTCCGCCTGTCAAGCAGTCGCCACATGACAATAATAATGCTGGTATAACTAATGTTTTGTAGTCTGGATCATGTTTTTAACTCAAATTAAATAAACTTTTGACATTATATGAACATGGGTTAAGACTTGTCAGTTCATATTTATGGACAAAGTTTGCATAATTTCCTTCTGTATGTCAACAACTATAGAATAGCTTATATACAAATATTACAGGGAAACCTTGACATGTCTTCAACACAACCTTTCCTGCGGACCAACTTCCTGATATTTGTTTTATACTAGTTATAACATTTCTCTCCCAGTCACACACAAAGACAGATGTTTTATCATACAATTTTATATTTGTCTCAACTATAACTATGCAGTCACTAATACTTTTAATCTATACATTATTTTTATGTTTCTACTCGTTTTTTAAAACAACAAGCATTTGTTTCTGACTTTTATTAATGTAATCTGAATAAATATAAGTGTTACAAATTCTAAAAGTACAAAATCTTGGAAACAGGAAACAGGACAGATATATATCATAAAATGTAAACAATGAGTCTAAAGAAGTAACCAAAGTTGTTGTTTTTAGCTGGTCTGTTTTGAAAAAAAAAAACGACTTAAAACCCGAACTATTGCGATTGCTGCATTATGTTGTCAACCTGTCATCAAGGTACAGTTGATAGACTTGGCATTAATTAGAAGAGCATAAATCTAAAAACAACATTTTTGGAGTTATGCCCTTTGTCAAAATGGCTAATTTAAAAATATGTAAAATATCAACATTGAAATTCAGTACTTGATTGACATGACAATACACAATGGCATGACCAGGGTCTTTAAGCAAAATATTTAGGAGTTATATCCTTTTTATCATAGAATATTTATAAAGACAATGATCATTGATAATCATTGCCCTTATCAGGCATGGGACATTATCCATGGAAGCAAAATATTTAATATTTTATATAAATATTATATTTTTATATTTGTGTTATGTCTCATTTTAACATTAACTATTTATAAACAATGGTCGTTGATAATCATTGCCCTTATCAAATATGGGGCATTATCCTGAAAGCAATATTTTTAGGGGATGTGTCCTTTTTTAACATAGAATATTTATAAACATTGGTCATTGATAATCATTGTCCATATTAAAGAGGGGACATTATCCTGAAGGCAATATTTTAGGAGTTATGTCCCTTTTTAAAATAGAATATTTATAAACATTGGTCATTTATTATCATTGTCCGTACCAGTGAGGCATTTAAACTGCATGAGGTTTCTTTGTTATTCCATGTATTCTCAGTGTTACCCTGGTAGTTTCCTTGTTACACACAAAACAACCATTTATAAGAATACAAGAAAAGGATGGATTGAATAATTTATCCGCATAACAAAAGTTCTGACATAAAAATATCTTGCTAAGTTTTTCATCATACTGTCACTTTAAGACCAGTTTAAGAAGAATGAATGATGAATTTAATAATTGCTGACATTGTTTAATTAACTAAATCTCTGTTCAAGTCTATTGCAGGTTAAATATCTGAAGAAAGTTACCGGTAATACTTCCTACATTTGCAGCATCACAACTGGTATACAGCTTCTTTGTATTCCCACACCAACATACTGCCGATGGTTTAAACAGGTTGTGTATCAAAACCTGTCCTTCAGAGCAGTCTCCTGATTTCTCTTCTATTACATTTCTCCCATGGTCACATACAAAAACAGTACCATCATCTGACAGTGACATTCCCCTAGGAGCACTCATACCACCACTACCTATCACATCACCTTGCCAGTTTAATCTTGTTACTGTCTTCATATCCCAGTCAGATACATAGATTGAACTACTGTTACATGTGATATACCATGGTAATTGAAAAATATTTTGTCCATCAATTGTTGTCAGTATAGTGCCATTCGAATCAAGGATCGCAAGTTTTGCAGGATCACAAAATGACACAAGAAGATTACTATTGAAACAGCTTATGCCATTACACTCTCCATCGACCTTTACAATGTGCTTCTTTATAAGTTTGTCTGATGAGACTGATATAAACTGCATTGCTTGTTTGTAAGGAAGTGTAACAGCAACTTCAGTACTGGTTACTTGTGTGATATCCCATGGTTTACCATCTAGTTGTAGTTGATCAGACACAGATTGATTGCTGGTATCCACCATCTTTACAGCTTTGTTATTGAAGTCAGTGATGATAAGAAGATCAGGAGTCAGCAGAGTCATTCCTGTTATCTTGCATGAATTTTCATCTTTTGATGTATTCACGTAGATTTGTCCCTCATGTGACTTTATTTGTACAGATTGACATTCTTTATTTAAAGTTTTCTGTGTCAATGTACCCAGTGACTTCTCTGTTTTAAGCAAATTTAATATTACATCATTTGATTGAAAGTTGTGCTCTTTGATATCATTTGATGACATTGTTTGTAATTTTCTTTCTATATCTTTGATTGCTTTCTCTGCAAGTTTTAAATCAATGAAGAGTTGTTCAGCTTGTTTTGTTGTGTGGAGTTGTTTGATTTTGTCTGATGATTTCTTCAGAAATTTGGTTATATCTTCACATATTTCTTCTACTTTTTTCAGATGTTTATTATTTTCTTGTTCTATGACTTTAGCTGCATCTTCAGCCTGTCTCTCAAGTTTATCTAGTATTTCGTTGATTTCTTGCCGAAACTTTTTAATGTCAACTAATGCATCTTTGAGAGAGCTGTTTGATTTGTGTGTACTGTCCTTGACATCTTTTAAAATCTGTTGAAATCTTGCAGAAGTAGTATTTACTGCATTAAAGATAACTTGATATTCTTTGCTGTCTATTATATCACCAGAAATGTCTGGTATATAATCAACATTGCAGGGGGTAGCTTGATGTTCAAGGGTAACACAAACACTGCAAAGAAATTCTGTATGATTATTGCAGTAGAACTTGATCGTTTCTTGTGGATGTTTAAGACATGGTGTGGTCAGAGCATCAGACTGGCCTGAGTCAATGGATGTTGAGGGGTGCTGCAAAACTTTAGGCATACTTGTTGCATCGAGAAGTGTATGCTTTTTGGTAAACTTGTTTATCTTATGAGCTTTAAAGCATGTCTGGCAAAGGTGTTCCTTGCATTCAGTACAGTAACCATGGGCATGATGTCTAGTTCCTTCCTCGTCACAAGGCTGGCAGTAAATTTGAAGATCTTCATCTGATGCCATGGATGTTGTTGATGATGAAAATTGTTTCGATGCTTTCTTTCCTGGGACTGCCATCTTTTACCTAAAATGCATTGTTATAATAGATTATTATGTATTGCATGTTTGTCATATTGTCCTTTAGTGAATACTGAAAACTTCAGATTTATAGATGATTTGAAATAATGGCAAAGGTTGATTTCTATTATGACCTTTTTGTGGATATAAGTTATGTTGGAAACAAATTCAAGCAATTATACTCAACATCACTAATTTCGCGTCATCAAGTCATACACCTAAAATCTAAGTGTTTGCGCAAAATATTTTAAATCTGTAGTGTTTAGCAGAACAAAACAGAACAATTTTTTCTAATTTCTGCAAAAGGCCACAGTAGTCCATTAAATTTGTGCTTACATATGAACATTCAACATGTTCATGTGTGTTAAAAATAGTTTTTAGTTTCAAAGTAAAGATAGTTTTAATTTTAATTTTAAATTCAGCAATAAAACAGTTTGTAATTTTAACTGAAACATGAAAAATAAGGTGTAACACCATATGTCGCGATTTAAATGATGACATATTGTTTTCAAAATTGCCGACCTATGATTTTGTTTTGATAATAAAATCTGATTTTGATTGAATATGTTTTTGTTACCTTTTGTCATACAGCAGGAAGAATGTAAATGCTATAGCTTATGACAATTTTTTGTAGGGAGAGTTCATTGATTGTTTTCCTTCTTGTTTCAAAGCGTTAAGTACTGTGAACTATGAAGACACAGTATATTTTTTATGACTTGTTTTTATTGTGATGAAATGACATCTAAAAATAAAAAGCTTTCATGCCACTAGTACTTGTAGATGGAGGGCGGGGTTGTTGGCGTCCTACATTTATCCTCATTTAATACTTTTTGTGTAAAATGATTCGAGATCATTTAAAAACTGGTTTAACTGACTCTGAGTACATGTTATTTATCAAAAACATATTTTGCTATCATGTAGGATGTTCTATTCATTATTAGCTATTACTATATTATAGAGTATGTCTCATATTTATGTATTTTATATCAATATATTAGTAACTGGCCATATATGATGAGATGATGTCAAAGGTCAAAGTTGTCTGCAAGTATATTTACAGCAGACATTCCCAAAAGTGTTTTCACATTTCACATTTGGAATAGAAATCTTAAAAGAATCAATGGACAAAATCAGTACTCTCTTGATCATATGGAAAAAGAAATAAAAGCATATCTCTATGGTTCCTTTACCGTCAAATGTCATAGGTACATTAGTTTTGGCCACTGTATGACCCCCATTGCTTTAAGGGTTGCAGTTTTAAATGTCAAGGTAATACTGACCTTGAATGTCAGCACAGTTTTTGATCAGTAACAACCAATGAGACCTTAACGACCATACAGTACGGTAGAAGGCAGAAAATGACCTCTTTTGATTTTTGGTTCACAGGGTCAAAGGTCAAGGACCAATTAGTTTTTGACTAATAACTTAACAACCCAATGGCTCTATGCCCACAAACTTGTAACAAGTCATGACCAGTATCTATCAACAAAATTGATAAAGAACTGTTCTAGAAGGTGGACTGGTAGTTCAGCAGGTTAGGGGCTAATAAAGATCTAGTGCAAACAGTATTTAATTAAGGTTAAACTTATAACTGTACATATGAAGCTTTAAAGAGTAATTCATACATAATTTTAATTTTTAAATATGAAGATTGAACTATACTTTATTTCATTTTAAAGTATCCATTCATACAAAACATATGTACAGAATAACAAATTATACAATGTTAGAGCCTGCACACTTTTTAGCTTCTCTTTTTAAAGAAAAAAGTTGAGTTATTGTCATGACCCTCTCGTCAGCATGCACATTAAGGTGGACATTGGTTAACCTTTTTGTTAAGGTCCATCTTCTCAGCAAATACAATAACTTATTACTCACTTCAAACTTGGTGTACTTGTTTATTGTCATGAAAGAACACCATTAATTTTCGAAAGGGCAGATAATCCTAAAATAATTTTATAACAAAAAAAAAAAATGTTTTCCATTTAAATTTGAAATTCTTGTAGACTATCAAGGACATGTAAGTCTGCTAATCACATGTGCATAATAATATCCATTTTTTCTAAGTCATATTTATAATACAGCAATAAGAAAAGTGGAGTGCTCTGTCCAGAAGTTTTTCAATACCATGACTTTGAGCATCAAAATATGTGTATATTTAACTTGCTTTATAATGAAATAATAAGGCTCACTTGTTTCCTTTATAAGAAAGTCATTTTTGTAGATATTAAGATATCTAATAAAAAATATTGTACCTTGAAATCGTAATCCACAAATTGTCTCACAGGTTTCTGATGTTAATATTTTGCTGTTGATATTGAATACGTGGTAATATGTACACCGGTCTTGTCGATATTTAAGAGACCGGTGTGTATACAATTGGCTACGTGGAATTTGAAATTGATGTTTACTTCCTTGTTTAAAAAACAAGATATAAAATGTGTTTAAAATCATTGAAACAGTATTGAAAACAAAATGATAAAGATTTCCTGACTTGTATATTCAAATCATTGTTTTCAGCTTCACATTATTATGGTTTTATGATGTTTTTTTGTGGAATAATTGGCAGATTAATGTGCTTAAACATTAATAATTTGAAGCTTGATCAATATCTTATCAACTACAATTACATAGAGAGGAAGCTGGCTTATCAGTTATACTGGTCAGTCTTTAAAGTCATCACTAGAGCATGTAAAAACCGTAAGACATGATATCTAGTGATAGAAATGCATTAAGGATCAAGTAGTTAAGATAGGATGCGTAATTGGGTGTGTGTGTGTGATCTCAAAGAAGGTTGTTTCGATGAGATGCGGTCCTAGAGAGGTTATATTGTGTTCAGTCTTAGTTTAGAGAGATTTAATACTGTTGCTGTAAAATGGTATTTGCTCTGAAGAGGAAAACTTTGCACCGGTTGTACTGTATATAGAGATATAGTCATATCTGTGAACAAAGATCATCCTATTGAGAGACAAAACAATTTGTCTGTAAAGACAAGTGGTCTTCATTTCGAGGTTACTTTGTTCTGATTCAACTAAAAAAAGGTTGCCTAAAGGTGGCCTTCATTTAGAGTTATCTTTAAGACAAGTTTGACTGTATTCTCTTAACTTGTACTTTTTTGAAGTTTTTTCAAGAGATACCAGCCACTTTCTCAGAAATACTGTATAATTCAAACACTGATTGCTCGAACTCTTATTGCTTGAATTCCTCACTTCTCTCGAACTCTAGACTAGTACCAGCAAAATTCCTTTATAACTTGATGTTGTTTACCCCAGTATCACTCAAACACAGATTGCTCGAACTCTCGAACAAGATCTCTAGTCCCTTCGGCAGAAATATTGTATGTTTCAGTCTAATCACTGTTCAAGGTACGTAACTCTGAGATGGATTTTGACAGCATTGTGGCCCTTTTTGAACTAAGAATTTTGCTGATTGTTAATGGCTCTTCTTTTACCATTAAGATCTGAGAATAGTCGGGCATGTTGTACATGACTTGATGCTGGTGATGGAATAAACATAACATTACTTTGCGATGGGATGACAACTTATGCAGCATTTATGCGTGAAACAGGATATAGTTGTCACATTTGAATAATGTCACATGTCTTAGTAATGGCAGCTGGAACACAGCAGTGCCATCTTGTGGTAAACAAAACAATTTTATATTAAGATACCATCAGAATTCAAATTCAAGATATAAAAAATGTTTTAGAATAAAGTATACTTTGATCTTGTTGAGATACATGTGGTTATTTATATGCTTGGCAATGTATATCTTCATTCAAACGCATGTACAGCCAACACACACTGTCAAAACTAAACCTTTCATGCATGTATGAAATTCAATTTAATGTCGAATATATCAAATTAAAGTTGGAATATCTAGATTTTCGTTCTTTCATTGTTTCCCTACTTTAAACTAGGTGTATAGAAATTTACTATGAAACAAAATTAAAAGGTTATTGAACACTAATATCAATAACTCATGTTTTGCTGTCAGTTATATGTGAACAATTAAATGCTGCAACAGCTCTGCCATAACGGTAAATAGACCACAGAAACATTTGTGTGTGCAACTGGATATGATATGACTGGACCAGAAAGCATCACATGTTCTCATGACAGATTCTGGAGCATGTCACAGCCAACCTGTTGTAAGAAATTTGCTAAACTTTACCTATTTTTGTCTTTTAAACATTACAAGTATGTGAGAAAGCTAAACAGCTAGTTTACAGAACGTCTGTGGTTCTACTCAGGTGCATGTTTTTGCCTGAAATAAAACCTCCACCAGAAAAGCTGGAAAGGAGCCATATGACCTATACTGTATTGGTGCGACTTTAAACCAAACCAAAAACAAAACAAATATGTTTTGATATATGATTTAACGACTGTACTGTTTATGCACCAGTCCAGCTATGCACACTAGCAAGTGAATACAAGTTTGCTTCTTTAAAAAGAAGCATGCGAGAGGTATTTTGCTGCTGTGGAAGATTTGTTTGATTCGAAAATATTTGGGGATATTATATGGCATAAAAGACACAATGAATGGTTATAAATTACAATTATAAAACAAAATAGAATTTATCATATATATTGCAATGAAAGTTTGTTTTACACTTCATTTTTTTAATGTTTTAAAAGATTATATGCCGGAGAAATGGACTTTTTTCTTGGCGCATTAGGGATATTTTTTCTACAAAAAAAATAATGTAAAATTACTTAATGTAAATTCAATGATATATATCATTTACATTTGAATTTTAAATTAAGTTCCCTTTGTAGAATAAGTATATATATATTAAAAGTAGTATCAAAATAAAAGTTTCTTGTAAAGTTCAATAAGCAAATTTTTGGTCACAGTTTTGTTTAATATAAGGAAATGTTTCTCTACATTTTCCAAAACGGGTATAAAGTATGTTAATCAAACAACTTTAAGTCCAGGGTTTACATAAACAATGTTTAATATCATTTGATTGGAATAAACAGTATATATACTGTTATACCCCGGTC